TCTCTCTCTCTCTCTCTCTCTCTTTTTCTCTCTCTCTCTCTCACACACACACATACAAATATAATAAAACATATGTACGTACTTAGAGTGCTCGAACTAATTTTAAAGAATGGAGACTCCCTTCTGGTAGAGATTTGGAAAGAAAGGAAAAAAGGGAGGAAGGAGACAAAACACGTTGGAACACTTCCAAGAGATATTTCATTAAACTAGTCAAACGGAATTAATGTCTCCACAAGGGATTTAGTCCACGGGCATCAGCACTCCGTTCTGAAGCTGGCGTGTGTCACTGGTTTGGGGTTTGGGAGGAAAGCCTTGAGCCCAGCAACTAACTCCTGCCTTTCCGTCATCCTCACTGCCAGATTACAGCAGAACTTGGTGGACTCCAGTTTCCCTCCATCATCACATTCCAGGCCTGAATTCTTTGGGAACACACCCATGAAAACTTGGGAAACACCCTCTACTTATCAGTAGAGTGGGTTTCTCCTAGCTTGAGCATTCTCGTCCATTCTGTGTTGACTTTACTAGCCAGCTATGGGAATGTGAAGTTCTCTTGACCTGGTTCCCACATTTGGGGACCCTCTGTGTTTAACGTAAGTCACTGACAACATAAATGACTCAACTGAAAATGACGTTTTATGTGTAATTGTATTGTTAAGTACCACTGTGCTGCTGTGTCCCAAACAAACATCTGTGCCCCCATTGGTCCGTGCTCTCTCCAGAGCTCAACTTTTAATAATAGCAGGATAGATGGCCTTTCCTCTCACACTTTATCAGTGCTGACCAGACAGAACACATTCATTTAGTTAGATGTCTCTGGAATCCTCACCTATGGGAACCTAGTGGTTTTCCACCATCTCCTTTCTGAACCGAGTGTGACCCAAAGACCCTTCCCAGCAGCACACACCCTAGCACTTCTCAGTGGTGTTCCTTCTAGGTCAGCCTCAGGATGTAAGAGCTGAGATTTATTGACCAAAAATCTTGCAGAAATTGAATGCTGGGTTTATCATCTCTTTCCCTGCTCACCTTTGCCCTAAGCAGCTGGAGAGTGTGCTGGATTTCCGCGTCCAGATTCCTCAGTTATTACAACACAACTCACAGCAGTGAGAGCTGTTATTTTCCATTTAACTTTGTTTTTTATTTAAGAATTTAGAAATAAGCACTAATGATCTTTATTAAATATGGAACTTTAAAATAGCAATTACTTTTTTTAAAAAAATCCCTTTTCATAGATAAACTTGGTTTAGATTTCTTAAGGTATCTGAATATTTATTTTCTTGAATTTCCACATGCAGTGAGTTTTCTCTTAGGAGCATGATTTTAGAAAATTATAGTCATCTTTGCCAATTTTATAAAATCACTAATATACTTGCATGAGAATGAGTTCTTCATGGGTGAGGTCACATTAAAGGAGTTTGGCGGTAGAGATGAGCAACATGTCTCTACTTACAGGAGATTAAGTCTGAGCTAGAGACATGGCCTTATATCTCTGAGTAAGAGTGCTTACTGCTCTTTCAGAAGACTAGGAGTTAGGATTCCACCTCCAACATAACCCACATCAGGAGGCTCACAGAGCCCTATAACTTCAGCTCCATTGGACCCAACACCCTCTTCTGAGCTGCAGCCCCATGTACAGTACTCCTTGCACGTAGGAAGCTGAGGCAGGAATGATCATGAGTTCAAGACCAGCCAGAGCTGTGATATAAAATCCGGTCTCCCCCTCCCCCCC